GTGTTCGGAACAGTTTTTTTTTAAATGATAATGACAAAAAAGGGTGAAAAGTTAATTCTGCATTGCCTCAAGATTCCGGGTATAGTTTCAGATTCATGGAATCAATATCATAATCCAACCTACTTTTTGTCATACAAACAGACGCCCTTCTGCCAGTACAGTTTTCAGTTTTCAATTCACCATCACTGTATAATATAGCACAACTGCCCAATTGCTTTTCTGGAAATTTGTAGACGGAAGATTAAAGATATTATGTACAATATAAGCTAGCTATTGTTTGTTCTTTTATGGTAAATTAGAGATACAGGGAATTTATATATATCATAAAATACGATATTCCTTTAAAGAATTGAGACAAGAGTCAATCATACATCGAATTCATAACTATTTTGTTACCCTTATCATTGTATTTAGTTTAAAAGGAAAAAAAAACATTTGTTTGTTACACATTTGTTATTCAAACTCGTTTCTAATCACTTCAACCATATCGTACCTGTAGCAGGATATACTATTCCTATGAGCCAAGTATCGTCAGCGTAGTCCGTGCAGTTCGAGAATATCTGTCGAAGATGTTCCTCTGTTGCCAATAGTCCTTTATACTTACTTTCACAGTTGGAGATGGCATCGCTGATGTTCAACTTGTCTGCGACATATATCCCTTGCAAACCTGTCCCTGGCACCAACAATAGACCAACGTGTTTTTGTTTTGTTGCATGGTTGTGTGAACTCTACTAAGGCATTGTCTTTTATGTAAAGAGGTTCAGAGTAATCTATAGGAATGGGAATTAAATTTACATGTAGCTGCAACGTACATAAAATCGTCTTTTCTTCGAATATACATGTTATCGATAATATTCTTTTTATAGGTTTAGAAACCTTATTCGCCATTATGATTTCACCGGGGAAAAACCTGTTGTGCGAAATGAATGTCATTTTGTCTTTGATTATGCTGAAAGGGGCTGGTCGGGAAAAAATGTCATATTTGCTAAAATGGCATAAACATGTTTAAAATACCTTCTTATGAAATATACCGATTCAAATTTTGCTGAAATTCACTCCCTAAGAGTAAAAATTATAATTATATTAAAGAAATTCTAAATCGTCACCTAACAGTCTAAAACTCTCAATTGACCCAGCTCAATGATGTAATTTTACCGCATGCGCGTCATCAACAAGGCCAAATGTAAACATCGCAGCGAAAGAAAAAGATGCATGCAAACGCCATGACAGGCACGAGGTATCGTCAAAGAACGGATACAGAGTCCACTACAAAACACAGAAAAAACCAATAGGCGTTGGTCAACCCTTTATAAAGACTTTGGAAGCAGCATAGTAGGTGGACACGAACACGCAACGCAGATTCTTCTCGATAAGTGTTAAGTGTGCCAGGCTGTCAACTGTTCGCAATTAGAACATAAGTTGTATATATTTACTTTAATGTGAAAGATTTTGTTGGCAAACGGTACCTTTAAGATGTTATTAGGGCGCACATGTGATTAGTGTCCAGGAAAAATGTAAATTTATGGGAAACAGACACCTTTCTTTCACGTCTGTTTTGTCCGTTTTCAGTAGGGCCCCTCGGTGGATTTTTTTTACATAAATTAGTGTACAGACAAAAAAAAATTGTTTGGGTTGGTTTTCGAAATTATTAATTATTTTTATTATTTTACACGTGTTTTTATCTTTATTTTGAGTGTTATAATATAAAATAAGAGTTTTAAAACATCAATTAGTAAATTGTAAGGCCTATCAGACGAGTATAATTTATTTATAAGTCTCGTACATCCAAGATGTTAGAGCTACATGTATATGTAAAAATACAGATTATACTGATTATGCTGATAGTGATTGCAACCAAATCTACTGTACATGTGAATTATTTAATAATATTCATGGGTCCTGAATTCATAGAAGTTTGTTTTTGATAATATTGACGGAGGAAGGTCTTAAGATGAAGATGAAGTTTGTTATATTCTACTGCAAAAATGAATATTTCCAGTTAGAAATTTCCTACAAACGTCGCCAGAAGGGGTTGTGGGGGGTGTTTGCTGGTTGATTGCTTTGAAAAAATCTCTGATGTTATAGTGATAGACAGTACCTGCATTCTGTTTACAAACAATATAAAAACAAATTTTATAACGCCTTCTCCTTGTATTTAAATATTTCTCATTGATAACGATGATTCATGGTGAACTGTTTTAGCCATCCACCCTTTATTGGTTCAGGGTCAAGGAGAGTGTACATGTGACTCTTATAGCTAATATAACATCCATCACTGGTGGGGGTATCGTGAAATTCAGTCTGAAATTTAATTTCTTAAATTGTGATAAAAAAAAAAAGATACAGGGAGAATATTTTATTTTTTCCATGTTTTAGGTGTGCTTCAGTGACAAAAGAAATACATGGTGTAGCCACTTCCCCACCTGGTACTTTAATGGGGGTACATTGCACTTCAATATATGTGCATTGCAAATCCACGGTGAACTTTGATAAATATAGGCAGGCGCGGAACAGAGCTACAAATCGTGTGGGGAAATCTGCATTCCTCAAGGAAAAGGATATAGCACAGAACATTAAGAACAATCCTAAACAGTTCTGGAGGTACACATGTTCTAAGATGGAGACCAAAGCAGCAGTGTGCAATGTTTACAAAGAAAATGGAGTCCTCACAAACAATGACCAAGAAAAGGCGGACGCATTGATAACATTTTTCGCGAGTGTATACACAACTGAGACGGATGTTGAATTACCTCCCTTTCCTAAAAGGCACTTGGAGCAGACACTTGCCGATACGCCAATTACGGACGAGGAAATCTGTGCTGCGGTCCAAAATATGGACGGTTCTAAATCACCTGGTCCGGACAATATACATTCGAAGTTCGTTAAGGAGACTGTACAGGAGTTACTAAAATCATTAAACATCATCTTCAACAATTCACTGGATGAAGGAGTATTACCACACGATTGGAAAAAAGCCAATATAACACCAATCTACAAAAAAAGGTAGGAAACAGGATAGCGGCAACTATCGTCCAATCAGTCTATCATCTGTATTTGGAAAATCACTTCAGAGAATTATCAGGAACAGAGTGGTGGAACCATGACTAGTAACAAACTGTTCTCGGATCATCAATATGGTTTTAGGAGCAAACGTTCATGTAACCTTTAACTGCTTGAAATTATGGAAAGTTGGACGGAATCTCTGGACAATGGAAATGAGGTCGATGTAGTGTACTTAGATTTTAGTAAGGCCTTTGATACAGTTCCTCACAGAAGGCTGCTTGAAAAGGTCAAGGGATATGGGATTGACGGTAGTATCGGAAAATGGATATGTGATTTCCTTGGACATGGAACAGCGAGTAGTGATCAATGGCAAGGCATCTAAATCAATTTCGGTTACGAGTGGAGTGCCCAAGGGTAGCGTTCTGGGACCGATATTGTTTTTAATATACGTCAACGACCTACCGGATGTGACAAACAATACAGCTAAATTATTTACGGACGACGCCAAAATTTACGGTGATATAACATCGCCCGAGTGCATTGACTCCATGCAGGATGATCTCAATAACATAAGCCACTGGACTGAGACTTGGCAAATGAAACTTAATTTAGAAAAGTGCAAATATATGAACATCAAGCTTGGGCAATCTGTATCTGACCAGAGTTATACCTTAACAGGAAACATCAACACAACAGTAATTCAAAAGGTGGAGCACGAAAAGGACTTGGGGATTGATTTCGACAATAACTTGGAATTTACCGGACATGTCAACACGCAAGCGAAGAAGGCCAACAGAATGGTGGAATTAATATTTAAATCTTTTACCTACATGGACGAAGCAATGTTCCCAAATCTATACAAATATCTAGTAAGACCTCACTTGGAGTTCTGCACATCAGTCTGGTTTCCAATTTACAAAAAGGACCGGAAGACTCTAGAAAATGTTCAACGTCGTGCCACCAGGTTGTTGCCACATCTCAAACATCTAAACTATGAGGAGCGTCTGCGAGTTTTAGGAATACCTTCCTTAGAGTACAGACGTGAAAGAGCAGACATGGTAAACCTTTATAAAATATGGAATGGACTTGTAGATGCCAACGTGGATAAATTCACAACTTTCGCGGACAGAATGAACACAACACCAGAGGACACAACAAAAAGCTTTCAAGAAAAGATTTAGGACCAAACTAGGAGGAAATGTCTTCTCCAACCGAGTGACCGAACCGTGGAACAATTTAGACTCCACCGTAATAAACGCTCCATCATTAAACTGTTTCAAATCAAGACTGCGTAGAAACATAACCCAGGAAAATTCAGCCCCGCATGTTACAGAGCGGGAGGTGCAGACCGGGAGTCCGTTCCAGTAGCATTAGTAGAAGTGTCAGTTGTAGTCGAAGACTAATGGTATGACGTCGACACGTTGAGTAATGGAGACACCTACATGTAGCACTTCTCGGTCTAGGAAGGCATCACACACATCTACAGGGACACCGGTACT